CTAGTTTGCATTTTGACTCACCACATAGCTTGCTATCTAGCCACCTGTAATTAGACTTAGTTTGCAGTTAAATCCATCCTGATATTCAGCTGTTTCCTCTTTGTTCCTCCCCTCACTGATTGACTTAAGAACTCTATTCTGTTCCCATACCTCATGAATCCATTTAACAAAATCCTAACCTGAAAAGAGCAATTTTTTTAAGAGCAATTTCTTAATCCTCAGGTGCCCAGACATTGGAATCCAACTTACAACTCCCTTGCAGTTTTCCCTAGTAACACATAAAGTCCCAGGCCACGATGGCCAAGTCTGAGTCTGGAGCCCCGGGATAACATTGTCTTCAAACAGACCAGACCCCAGAAAGAAAGTCAGCCCTCAAACCTGCCTGACCAACTCCCCCTTTACTATATAAGAAAAAGGTAACCTAAAGATCAGCGCAGCTGTCCACTCTTAACAGTCTGCCCCTGGTGACCGGCCTCCCCATCCCCCCACCGGTGTTTTTCTCCCTACCTCCCACTGCAGCTGTCCCTATCAGACTCTGGCCTGGCAAACTCCCTTTTACCAGTATTTGTCTTTTAAACAGAAACCCACGGCAGCTGTCATCTTTGGACACGGGCATTCTCTCCCTGCCCGACCTTTAATTAAACTTCCTTTGCTCTCCTAATTTTATGAGTCTGTGAATTCTTTCACCTTTTGCGAGCGACCTGGGGTTAATTCTAGGCCAGAACACAGTGGATTTCATGTACCCCTCCTTACGTCTCCTCCTTTGATTCTAATGTATAAAATAAACTGCAAAACTGCCATTCTCCAGAACACTTTCTTAATCCGTTGAAATTTTGCTTCTCGGCCATTGTCATCAGTTTGGCTCAGATAAACGCATTCAAGTTCTCTACAGGTTTGGATGTTTCTTACTTGACATTTCTATCTCAAATCAGCGAATAGTTCCTGAGCACCTACTAAGGGCCAGGTGCAGCTAAGAGCTTTCGTTTCCATGCCCTGATCCCAGGACCCTGCTTCATCCTCCATCCCTGCTTCTCTTTCTGAAAAACTCCCACTTCCAAACATCTGCCCCCCCTCCCCTGCCCATTCCGCCTCCTCCCATCACCTTTGTCTCCCATTCTAGCCTGGCTCCTGATGCAGCAGTACTACAAGTGGGGCACAGGTCTGGCTCCCCCTCACGTCAGAGGCTGACAAGGGGTGAGGGCCGGGCTTTGCTTCATCGCCTCCACAGTGATTCCTGAGCTTCAGCTGAGCACCCCCCAACCTCCTCTGTGAAGAAGGAATCTGGGGGCCTCTGAAGGGGCACAGCCGTGTAAACAGACACCTCTGGGGATGAGATGCCCCCCCTCGGAGAAGATGGAGTGAAGAGCTTTTATGAAGCCCCCACTAGGTGCAAGGCCTAGTACTGGAGATCCCATGGAAATATCGTGAGGAAAAGGGCAGATGTGCTCCTGGATACTCATGGAGATCATATTCCAGTGGGGGAGACACGTAACAACAAAAAGTAAACAGATACACAAAATGATACACCACCATGGTGAGTGTTATGAAGCAAACAAACAAGGGGCTAAGAAAGAGGTTAGTGGGAGGTCACAATAACAGGTCAAAGGAGGGGAATGAAGGAACAGGGTGATCTCAGGAAGAGGGAAGAAAACAAGGAGAGCTGAAGTGGATGGGCCTAAGGGCCTGTTCTCCTAGGATTAGGGCAGAGAGAACCAGTCCAGCTGTTGGTCTCAGCCCCTGGCCCTTTCTGGCCTTAACTCATTCCTCAGCCCTCACCTCTGCACTCCCTTATTGGCTTAATGATTCACTCTCAACCGTTTCCTAGCTTCCTGTGTGGAGGGGGTGGGGTGGGGCAGAACCCTGGGTCTCTGAGGGTAGCAGAAGGAATGGCAAGCTGTCTGGCTTCTCTAGTTCTTCTCTTTGTCCCATTCTGCTCTTGCTACAGAGAAAGGTCTCTCTGTGCCAGAAGGACAGTGAGGATAACTAGGACCAGCTGGAGCCTTGATTCCAGATGTGGGAGGTAGTGGTGAGACAAGGTCCTGACATCCTCCTTTCATTTCCCCTCCCCGGCCTAATGGCCTGGAGAAATTTTCCATCATAAACAAGTATGCATTCCTGATCTGGGTGCCTCCCCCTCTCTCCCACCAAGCAGTTTTCTTCCATTATCCCTATCTACCCCCTCCCCCACCCCAGCACCCAGTTTATGTCTGTTTGGGCATGTGGGTCTGTCCACACATGTAAATAATCATGGATTTATGTTGGTCGTTGTGTAGTGGGCAGGTTGCCTTGGAATAAGGGTGTAGGTGGGTATGCAGGCTCTCTGTGCTTGGGTGTAGATGTAAGAATGATAGCGGGTGTGAAAGGCAGGTGTGGGAAAGGGATATCTTTGTAGAGGAGGTGTGTTTTATGCCTGTTAGGAAAAAGTGTGTAATACTAAAGAGGTACCATGTGTTTAGATAGACATTGTGGGTATAAAACAAAGCAACATATAGGCCTATGAAGCAATAATATATTGATTTCTAGCCCAATTGTGGGGCTGTCCCCTTGTTTGCATCCCAACACAACCTTGGTTGAAAAATGCCCTTAAGGTGTTCCTTGTTTGGTGTCTGTGTAAGAATTGTTCCAGCTTTATTAAAATGTTATAAATTTGTATGTTGAGTTTGAAGAAATGTATCCATGCCTCAAAAGCTTGGGGTGACCCAGCCAGTGCATGCATTTTTAGTTCTGCATTTTCAACTTTCATTTATCAAGATTACTGATTTACTAGTACACGCAAGGCCCCATGCTAGATTCTATGGCGGACACAAAGGTATGTGTGACACGGTCTCTAATGAAGGGGTCATGTGTGTGCTCACCATGTGTATCAGGCATAGTATCATCCAGTGTAAAGATCTGAGCCCAAGGCACTTCAAACCTCTAGAGTCAGCTTTGCTCCCTTCACTCTCTGCTGTCAGCACCTCCCTCTCCATGCTCCCTGACTCTACCGAAACCCATCCTATTGTTAAATTCTTGTGATCTCATGCTAGGAATGTCACTTAGCGCCATCCCCTTGTCTTGGTTCCTCTGCCATGGCCCATTCAGGCCCTGTCACCTTCTACTGCACCTCTATAATAGCCCTTGCCTCAATGTCTCCCCATCCAGGGCACGCTCCTCATCCCTCTCAGCTCCTGGCTTGAAGTGTCCTGTTATGTCATCCCATGCCCACAAGCTCCATCTAGTCACATTTAGATTCCTGGCCTGGCAGCTAAGCTCTCCCCACTTTGCCTAACTCCTTCCCAGCCCTCATGACTTCCCACTACTCCTTTACTGGGAACTTACTCCAGGATTGTTTTGATTGTGATTCCCCAAACACATCCTGTACTTTTCCAGCTCAAGGCCTTTGCTGATTCCATTCTCTTTCTCACAGTCACCATCTGCATCTGAATCTGTGGTTTCCCATCCACTACTCAAGGTCATCTCACATCCACTCTTCCGTGCAGCCTCCTCATTCATTAGTGAACACTAGCTTTTTTGAGTTCCCCTTATATTGTCTTCCATTTTCTTAGGACACTCAAAGAGTTCTGATCAGGCCCACCCCTGAGGTGCCCGTTGTATCTGGCTTGCCTCCCTCAGCGGCACGCACGCAGAAACCAACCTCAGCACTCTCAACAGTACCTTTAACAAGGGTGTCTTGCACCGTGAATGCCCTAAAGATGTTAAATTCTGTTCATGAGCAACTGAGTTATGAAAATGTGTAAGTTTTGTCGTAAGTTGAGTTACTACCATTACCACAACATTTGCGTAATGCCTCACAATTTAAAATGCTCTTCGAATGAATTTTGTTATTTGATCCAAATAACAGGGGGCAAGTCTGGGTGACTGCTAACCTTCTGCTTTGTATTTTCTGGTCCTCTGTCCCAACTTTGTACGAACATCCAAGTGGGTAACTTTGCTGGGTTGTCCTGTGCGGTCTCTGCTCCTTTGCTGTGTATGTGTGTCATGTGCATGTTGAAGGGGGGCACAATATGCCACCCCAAATTGTGCCACTTTGGCATGTGGATTGAGTTGAAGGCAATCAAGACCCAGCAGACTCAGGAAAAGCTTTTCACCTCTCCCTTAATTGCCTAAAAGAATTTATTAGGGGCCTATATCAGGAAGAGAGCTATTACCAGGGAACTTTTTTATCTGAAAGATTTGCAGGCTTGACAGGGCAAACATCTGATCACCAAAAATCTGCTTTTCTTGTCTTCCTGTGAACTGCCCTCCTCCCTGTGAACCCTGGAACCCTATCCCATTCCTTAGCCCCCATTCCTTAGGATGGCATATAAGCCTCAACTACCTGTCTTTGAGTCTCAGGTCTTCATGGACTCCCATAAGTATGTAATTAAATTTGTTTTCATCCTGTTAATGTCTTATGTCAATTAATTATTAGGCCAACTAAAAAACCTAGAAGGGAAGAAGAGAAAAAATTTCCACCCCTACAATGTGGTGTGTGTGTGAATGTTTGTATGTGTGTTTTCCTGTGTTCTAAGACAGGCAGGGTTGGGTCTGCATGTACTAGTGTGTTCACTTTTCTTATGCTGCTTGACTATTTCTGTAATGACTTCCCTCTTGGAGTGTGTGTTCTTTGTGTGTATCTACAAGTGTGTGAATGTACCTGTGTAACCGTGGTTCATTGAATACTACAATTAGTATTGTAGCAGGATGGCCAGACTTCCTTATGGAAACCCTGCTACCTCCCTAGAGATGGGGCCTGTGACTGAACCATCTCCCAAGCTAACTGTGTGTGGGCCCCTCTCCAGCTGCCACATGTCCCAACATGTGCCTGCAGCCCGGGATCTCACCCACCCCCACTCACAACTCACACACTCACAGCACACACTTGGGCACCTAGGGTTGACAGGCCAAGTCTCCAACCCCCTCCCTTTGCTTAATCGTCGGAATTTCCAGCCAGTCTCAGCCTGCCTACCGGTCGCAGCCGGGGTGGAGTTGAGAAGGGCCCGCCCAATTATCAGGCACTCTTAAACGAGCTCAACTCTGCTGCGTGTTCGCACTCGTCCTTCTGCTCTGCTCAGCACGCAATGTGTCGCTCTCGCAGCTCCCTCCCCACCATGACAGTCCTGCGGGCCCCGACCCCTGTACCCTCCACCAGCCCGGGACCCCGGAGGGGCTCCGGTCCTGAGATCTTCACCTTCGATCCTCTCCCCGAGCCTGCAGTGGCCTCCGCCGCGCGCCCCAGCGTCTCCCGCGGGCCCCGAAAGCGCAGCCGTAGGGTCCTCTACCCGCGAGTGGTGAGTGTCGCCGAAGTGTGCAGCTGGGGTGAGGGTCGGGGTGGGAGAACGGCCAGACATCGGGACCCTGAGCTGACCTGTTCCCTTTGTTGTCACCCCTCAGGTCCGGCGCCAGCTGCCTGCCGAGGATCCGAACCCTGCCAAAAGGCTCCTCTTTCTCCTGCTCACCGTTGTCTTCTGCCAGATCCTGATGGCTGAAGAAGGTGTGCCGGCGCCCCTAGCCCGGGAGGACACCCCCAGCGCCGCGCCCCCGGCGTCCACTCCTGCGTCCCTGGCTCTCGAGCCCCTTAATCTGACCGCGGAGCCCTCGGACTACGCTCTGGACCTCAGCACTTTCCTCCAGCAACACCCCGCTGCCTTCTAACCGTGACTCCCCACACCCCCCCAACAGGAGTCTGAAAAGCCTAAGAAACACCAGGTGTATGTATCTGGTGCGCGACAGCGTATCCCAAACTGGGACTCCCGAGGCAACTCTCACTCAACACTACAGGGGAGCCGCCACCCTGCGCCCGGATGGGCCACGCGCGGACATGCCGGGGCCAGGCCGGGCAGGGAAGGACGAGGAGGGCGGCGTTAATTTATGTCTCATTGTCCCTGATATTTATATGTATTTATGTATGTCCCCTAAGTGATAGAGGGTTGTATGTAATATTTATTTTAATTTATGCGAGGGTGCGAGACGTGCACCCTGCAGCAAATGTAGGCCTCTTGGTATTTATTGAGCTTGGTGGGATTTGGTGGATGCGCCTAGATGGAGGGAGATGGAGACGGGGTCCGGAAGGCGCCCGGGCTGGGAGTTAAAGACGGTGGAGGGTCGCAGGTTTAGGGGTTGACTTTCTACCCCCCAGCATCTCAACCCTCTGAGTGAGTCTACTGTATGAAGCTGCGGCGGACCATTGGGAATAAGGTCCTTGGCCTTCGATCTCCTCGAAGTTGCCCCCAAAGGGTGGCCATGGGGTGCAGGGTGGGGGCTCTCAGGGGCGGCTGTGGGGTCGCCCTGTATGTTCTGTGAACACAAATAAACTCGATTTTACAGTTAGCAGTGATTTGAGTGTATCTTTGTCAGCGGCAATTCCCCGCTCCTCCCCACCTTGGGCGCCAGGACGGCCCCAGGAGGCGCTCTTCAGGGCCCCGGAGCCCCTCGTTCCGGGTCACGGAACCCAGCATCCCGTGACCGGACGCAGACGTTCGTTGCCCAGTCTGCGGTTTTCCCAGTTGGTTGCCGCCGGGCATATCCAAGATGAGGCAACGTCCCCCGCCCGGGCCCACGGAGGTCACGTCGCGCATCCGGGGGGCGGAGCCGGCAGCCACCGCGGCGGGGGTGGGGGAAGAGGGAGCCGGGACCAAACCCGTTGGCGGGCTGCGGCTCGGAGCGGGGCATGCCGGGAAAGGGGCGGGGCCGCGGCGGGGGGCGGGGTCGTGTAGCCGCAGCCCCAGGGTGCGGCCAGGTCGGGGGCGCAAGCTCGCGAGCTTGCCCAGCTTCCCGGAAAGGTCGTGCGTAAGTGGTCCGGCTTCGGCTCCCAGGTCCTCGGCCGCCGCCGGAGTCCGGGAAGGTAGGTGTGGAAGGGCGGGGAGGGTGGCGCGAAGTCTGGGGCCCTTTAGGCGTGGGAGAGCTTTGTAAATCAGGGAGAAACCGTCCTCACTGCAGGCGGGGACGCGGCAAGGGGCTGGCCCTGGCCGTTAGCAGGCGGGCGGGAGTCTCTGGGGGGGTCTGCAGGATTTCACAGGGATAAGCCTTAGCGGACCCCTGGATGCGGAAGGAACTGGGCGGTGGTGGCTGCAGGCTGGGCGGGACTGACGGGAAAGAGAGTCACTCTGGTGGACTCCACAGCGCCCCTTCCCCTTCTGCAAAGGCTTTCTATCCTCTCCTCCAGCTCCCACCTGAGCCATGTTTTTCACCTGTGGCCCAAATGAGGCCATGGTGGTCTCCGGTAAGTATTGTTCTCTTCTCAGTCAATGACCCCCAAACCCCTGCGAGCCTGGCCTCTCCCCAACCCCCCACCTCCCCCTATGGCTGCAAGCTTGTGATTCCCAACCGCTAACCTTCCCAGGTCCAGACTGCCTCCCCTCCAGCTCCCAGATTTCCTCGAGGGGATTGTTCCTCCCCTCCCCCCCAGTTCTTCCGTCTTCCATATTCCAGCTCTGCCGCCGCTCCCGCAGCTCACTGGCCCCTCACCTTGCAGGTTTCTGCCGGAGCCCCCCAGTCATGGTGGCTGGGGGACGAGTCTTTGTCCTGCCCTGCATCCAGCAGATTCAAAGGTGGGTAGGAAGACATCCAGGGAAGGGGAGCCCCAGTTTTCTTTCGTCTTTTTCTCACTGTCCACCCTCCTTTTTCCCTCTAGGATCTCTCTCAACACATTGACCCTCAATGTCAAGAGTGAAAAGGTTTACACCCGCCATGGGGTCCCCATCTCAGTCACTGGCATTGCCCAGGTGAGGCTTTCAGAGCCTTTCCCCCAGAGTCCACTCCCCCATCACCTTCTCTGTCCCAAGCTGTAAGGATTTTCTGTTAGTTGCACTTTCTCCAGGGCACTTGACCCCTCCCTTCTCTCCCTGCTTCCTCCCTGCTTGGTGAGACCCCTGCCACACCCTTGCTACCCTTCCTTTGGCTACAGGTGAAAATCCAGGGGCAGAACAAGGAGATGTTGGCAGCAGCCTGCCAGATGTTCCTGGGGAAGACGGAGGCTGAGATTGCCCACATTGCCCTGGAGACGCTGGAGGGCCACCAGAGGGCTATCATGGCACACATGACTGTGGAGGTGGGCCTAGCGGCCGGGGATCTGGAGGGATGCCAGGCTCGGGGGCCTAAGGACTGGGCTGGTCTGTGGGCAACAGTGGCCAGAGCATCTGAGATCTTAAGTTCCTCCTTCCCACTGTCCTATTATCTTAGGAAATATATAAAGACAGGCAGAAATTCTCAGAGCAGGTTTTCAAAGTGGCCTCCTCAGACCTGGTCAACATGGGCATCAGCGTGGTCAGCTACACCCTGAAAGACATTCATGATGATCAGGTAAGCCTAGACAGTTGGTCCTCTCTGTTCCCCTGCTCCCCTCTCTTAAATGCTCCCAAGGACTCTGATTTCTGCATCTCTCCCACAGGACTATTTGCACTCCTTGGGGAAGGCTCGAACTGCTCAAGTCCAAAAAGATGCTCGGATTGGAGAAGCGGAGGCCAAGAGAGATGCTGGGATCCGGGTAAGAGAGATGAGGGTCACTTGGTCTCTGTGGGTTTTTGGGGCACATGGTGAGAGAGGGGCTGGAAGGGCAACAACTGACTGGGGGCTGGTGGGACTGGGTTGGCAGAAGGTAGACAGGGCCAGGACTGGGGTAAAGGCAGGGGAGCCTGGTGGGCAGCAGGCTTTCGCCCTGGGGCCTTCCTCTCCCTGCTCTGACTCCCTATCTCCTCTGTATGGACAGGAGGCCAAGGCCAAGCAGGAGAAGGTGTCCGCACAGTACCTGAGTGAGATTGAGATGGCCAAGGCACAAAGGGACTATGAGCTAAAGAAGGCCGCGTATGACATCGAGGTCAACACCCGCCGGGCACAGGCTGACCTGGCCTATCAGCTGCAGGTCAGAGCCCCCACACTGGGCAGATGGCCGGGCTGGACTTGCCTGCCCTATGCCCTCCATCCATCTCAGGCCACCACTTTCTCATATTCTAACTCTGACCTCCTCATCTGGCTCTCCATTTCTGACCCAGCTCCTCCATAGAAGGAGGATTTAAAAGACCTAAACATTTCTGCTGAAAAACGAAGAAAAGGCCAAGAAGGTATATGATCAATAGGGCAGATCATATGTTTGGGACAGGTTGTGTCCTGTGCAAGGGCACCTGGATGAGGAGTGAACCAGAGCTGAGTTCTAGCCCAGCTGTGCCTTCTGTCATGGGCCAATAGGTCTGCATCTATCTAAGGAAAGCGTGCATTTTTCTCATGTGCACAGGGCAGCCCTAGTGATCAAAGGTGTGAGGAAGGAAAACATGGAGTTGGGCTTTGAATCCTGCAAAGTGAGATGTGGGCAGCCCTCAGTATTGCAAGCAGGTACAGTCAGTCCTCATCTGCGATTCCATACTGAGAACGTGCCTACTCGCTAAAATTTACTGGTAATCCTAAAGTTAGTACTCGCAGCACTTTTGTGGATGTTTGCAGATGTGAAGAGAGGCGACAGTCTCAATTGTCACCTCTTGAGGGTGAAGACATCCAGTCTTCTTTCAACTCTTGTACTGTTAACAGTGTCATTTTCATAGTATATTACCTGCCACGTTTTTCACATTTTTGTGTTCTTCGTTGGTGGTTTTGCTGTTTAAAATGGCCCCCAAGCATAGTGCTGAAATGGTGTCTAGTATTCCTAAGTGCAAGAAGGCTGGGATGTGCCTTATGGAGAAAACACTTGTGTTCGAGAAGCTTCACTCAGGCATGTGTTATAGCGCTGTCGGCTCTGTGTTCATTGATAATGAATTGACGATGTTTATTACGTAAGGTGTCTTCAAACAGCAACTCTCATAAAACAACGTTATATATTGATCTATTAATAAAAATGTTGTGCCCAGAGGCTCATAGGAACCTAACCCTGTATCTCCCCTAGGAACAAAGTAAGTACTTGCTAATTCAGTGTTCACGGCTACTTTATAGACCAGAACTACCATGAATAACAGGAATCAAGCATACTTGGAGACCTTTACTCAAAGAATAGCAATATTATGAGATTCGTTTTTGCCAAGAGTTGCTACAGGCTGAAAGCATAATAAAGGGCAAACCATCTCTAGTTGTGATGATGAAATCCTGAGTGGCTGGAGGGGTAGTTGTATATGGCATAGTGCTTTGCTAGTCTGAGTGTGGGCTGCATACCAGCAGCAGCATCACTGGAATATTGATTAAAAATACAAAGCCTCAGGCTCCGGCCCAGACTGAATCAGAATCTGCATTTTAACAAAATCCCTAGTTGATTCGTATATATACTGGAGTTTGAGAAGCAGTAACATAGTGGAAGCCAGTTGCATGGTGGGGTCTAAGGATAAACTTGGCTTTCCTTGTCTGCAAATCAACAGATTGGGCTGGTTAGGGCTTCATTCAACTTTTATAAGTTCCTCATTTTGTGCCAGGCTTTGTACTAGGTAATCAGAAAATAATGATTCAGTCAACAAATAATCTGTGAAGTGCCTACTTACTATGTTCCAGACGTTGTTTTGGAGGTGAGGCTGTAAATAGGAGTGAGGCAATATTCCTCTCAGAGCTTACAGTATAACACAGAACACAGCTAATAAGCAAGTAAAGTAAACTTCGTAGGCTCTAATTATCTTGTTTAACTGCTATGAAGGAAATAAACAGATGATGTGAAGCAGTGGGGGTTACGATGTTAGGTCAGGGTGGTCAGAGAAAGCTACTGAGGAAATGATACACGAAATAAAACCTGAAGATGAGAAAGAACCAGCAATGCAAAGAATTAGACACTCTTGAGTGTCTAAGCCAGTGATGCTCCAAAAGAACGTTTGTGGTGATGGAAATGCTCTGTTTGCGCTGTGATGTTGAGCACTTGAAGTGGGGCTGAGGAAATGTGACTGAGGAACTGATTTTTAAATTTCATTTAATGTTAATTAATTTAGATTTAAATAACCATATATGGCTAGTGGCTAGGCAGGAGGACCGACACATGCAAAGGCCCTGAGGTAGGAAAGAGCTTGATGTGTCCCAGAAACAGAAAGCAGGTTTCTGATTGGGTATGGCTGGTGTGCTGTAAGAAGAGGCAGGCAGGGCCTGATCACATAGGGTTCAGGTAACCTTGATGGAGACTTAGAATTCAAAGCACAATGAAAAGCTATTGGAGAACTTTAAGTAGGGAGGTGCTATGGTTTAATTCATGTCTTTACAAGGATCAGTCTGGCTGCTCTGGAGAAGTGTCAGAAGAGAGGCAGCAGGGAGACACGTTTGAAGCTTTTTCAAAGATGATGGATTGGATAAGTGCAGCTAATTGCACTCTCAAAACCTCACTAAAACCTGATAGAGTGACTTTAAAAAAAAAAAAAAAAGGAATGGGAACAGAGGAA